GGGTGAGAATCTTAAATGCCATATGTCAAACTGAAATTTCTTTTTATCTGAAATTCAAAGAAAGAAAAATTCGATAACAAACTTTTTTGGGGCAAAGTTATTACCAACATTTTGCTGAAAACGTCTGTTGCCAGTTTGAACTCTTGGTTCGAAAGTTCTATTACCATTACCCGGCGCCCTATGCTTGTTGCTATCTAAACCTAAATATCTCCTACATCTTATGGATGAGTGATTCAAAGAACATTTTATACATGTATGACTGAACCTACAACTATTACGAGAGCAAACTCCTTTAAAATTAAAGTCATAGCATTTGTTAATGCGTGGTTGTTGCGTATTAGATGAAGCGATAGCCATTATTTGAAGCCATAATTGAGCATCAATTATGTCCCAATTTTTTGTAGGATTTCTTGCAACTCTTAATCTAAATTGCTGATCATACATGTACCACTTTTCAATAGTACAATCAGCTGCAGCACCCCTTATGATAGCTATGTAAGCAAACAGCTGATTAGCTTTCATTGTATGTCTCTAAATCAAAACTTGTGAATCAGCTACAAAGGCGTCAGTCCAGGTCTCAATGTTAATAATGGTTTTCTTTTTTGAAAGATTTGTTTGAGTTATCAATCTACCATCTTCATTTAAACCAAGATAACTTTGCCTATCAAAATGACTACAGAAATTGCTTTTATGCATTATTGATAAATCAATATAATGAAATTGCCAAATTGTTTCTTTAACTGTTTGGCTAATGAAATTGTCAGTTTCATTGATATTTGGCAACATATTTGGTTCATCAAATCTTATCATCATCAACCTCACCTATTGGCTGGGGGTACAGGTGATAAAACTTGAACGTCATTGTCTTGATTAGGCATATTCAACGCTTGTTGAACTTCAACATTGTTATTTCGCTACCGTCTATGTGGAGGTTGTTCTTCCTCGTCCAGTTGAGGCCCTCTCCTTCTTAAATTGCGTGCTGGCGCAGTTGGATTATTTGGTTATCTACGCCGTCTTGGCATCCTATATTTAAATGAACATTGACAATTAAAATTAGATTTTCCAATTAAATAATATTCAAACAAAGTAATGCTTTAATCTATACTTTGAAGGATTCAGTTGATAATTGTTTAAACACATGTGCATAATTAAAATAGCAATGTAATTTATAAAATAAAGTGTTTGTTTTGCTTAGTGTTTTTTGTTTTGTTTTGAGTTTTGTTTTTTGTTTTTTTTTTTTCAATGATAACACAGTATCAGATATAGCTCTATCTGTAAGTCTTTGAAAAGCAGCTCACGTAATTGTTAAGTTATTCATTTTATTTGACGTTGTTTAATAGTAACGTTTACGGTGAGGAAAACAATATCGAAGTACGGGTATTTAATGTGCTAACACAACCATCAGAATTGTAAACTTACGTCAAACTTGATATTATATGATTTATTAAATCACACAAGTATGAGGTCAACTTCTTATCGGAAGAAGAAGAGTTAACTGATTTAATGAACTTGCATAGTAAATCTAACTATTAAAAGTATCATACTCACAAAGCAGTCCAAAAATTTAAAAAGGCGAACTTGCCAAGACTCATTCATATAATAGTTCGATGAGCATCACATACAATTTAATTAGCGTAAGATATATAACATTACACAACTATGAAACAATGAAATTAAATTTAACTAACTAATTTTGGTGCATACATTTTGATATCCTTTTTAAAACGTAATTGTTTACAAAAAAACGTATGAAAAACATTCATAAGTATCCTTAAAAGCGTAAATGTTTTCACCAACTTATGTTTAATACGTTCATAAGTACAATCATTGTATTTATATTAAACAAAATAAATATTTAACTAAAAAGTCAAATTGAATTCACATAACATAAAATAAAAAAAATACAAAAATACTTATCTTCAATGTGTTTTTTTTTATTTTGTCCTTCCACTCCGTCAAAAGTTTGTTAAACAATGAAACAATATGTCTGAAACAACTGGTTTTGATATTGTCTAAATTCCAGCCCTTTTAATACACGAGCTAATTGCGTATCGCTTGTGTACAGAAAAATATATAATATAAAACCGGTTTAATATGTCGCTTGCAACAATCAAAACTTTAAAAAAGGGAGATAAATCAAATACTTATCAATTCAATAAATAAATTTGATTCATATTGATTAAATTTCAATAAACGCAAGAACACTCCGGACAAAGAAACTGAATGATATGATAGTATAAAAATGTCTATGATGTTTAACCATGGCATAAGCAGGTAATAAAAGGACTCTAAGAGAAATTAGAGTGATAAACATTTACTTACACAAGAAATGACTTATAAAGACAGTAGAGTGCTGACGGTTTACTTGCACAAAGATTGATAAAGATATTAGATTGCTAAAAGTTTGAAGTAATTGAAAAGAAAAGAATTAGAGTACTAACGGTTTACTTACACCATGAATGATAAAGAAATTAGATGGCTGTCAGTAGACTTGCACAAAGATTGAGACATCATTAGAGTGTTGAAATTAACTTACACAAGGATTGAGACAGACATTAGAGTGCTAACAGTTTACTTACAGAAGGATTGAAACAGTCATAAGAGACCTATTTCCTTTCATATATTTAATCTAATTACAGAGATACTTTATTCGTTATTCGAAAGCTTATCGATAGAAGAACAAAAGGTATATAATTAAGTCATTAAGAGTTTGTATGTCCTTAAAGAATCAGTAATCTTATCAAGAAAATTTTAAGAAAAATATAATTGAAATGTGTATTAGATTCGTTCCGGTAATAAACACATTTTGTAGATGTGTAACAAAATAAGTATTATCCAACATATTGTAGTAAAAGGAATGGTTTTTTTTTTTATTTTACAATATGGAGAAGTTAATGATGGAGGAAATAGCGTTTACTTACACAAGGATAGAGGCAGTCATTAGAGTGCTGACAGTTTACTTACACACGGATTAAAACTTCAAGCTTGCATAGCTATGTTGTCTTAAGTTTAAATAAAGTCCTAAAAAATCAACATACCTTTAATTGCATGTTAGAGCGGTTCCCAGAAGTTGGGTAGTACAAAAACAGGTACTTCTGATCTAAGCAACAGGACAAATATGCCCTCCTATCTTAATTTCATATACTTGTTTGTCATTCAAATGAAACTTTAAACAAGGATTCTACAGTGATTCCAATTCCTTAAGCTTTCATTTGAAACAAAAATTACCCAACTTGTTTACTTATTGACAAAGTCACAGCTATGCGTAGGAACTATTTTGTTTAAAATATATACTACTTTCTTGTATGTTCTTTCTGACCGGGCGGAATTAGTGTTTCTATACCTAAAGAGCGCCGACAGTTTACTTGAACAAGGATTGTGAGACATTTGAGTGCTTACAGTTTACTTACTTAAGAACTGATAAAGATATTAGAGTGCTAAAAGTTTATGTACACAAGAATTGATAGAGATACTAGAGTGGTGACAGTTTACGTACACAAGAAATGATAGAGATACTAGAGTCCTGATAGCTTACTTGACCAAGAATCGCCTCGGACATTCTAATAATGACAGTTTACTTACACAGGAATCGATACAAAACATAAGAGTGTATACAGTTTACTTGTATAGGAATCGTTGAAAATAGTAGAGTGATGACAGTTTCCTAAAGCAGTAATCGATTAAAACATAAATTGTTGACAGTTTATTTGTACGGGATGCTAAAAAAACCAATAGTGTTAAACATTTACTTACACAAGGATTGATAAAGACAAGGATTATTAAAGACTAACTTTGATTTTAAAACTTAATAATTTAAAGTATATGTTAAAAAATGAAAAAGAAAGAAAGAAAAGAAATACAATATCACTTTAAGAGTCTCACAAACCGACAATTACGGTCATATTATTAGAAATTAAGAATAATAAACAAACAAACAAATAAATACAAAAAATCACATAAAGCTCATATATTTAAGAATAGAAGCATTTGCATCAGCATTTTCTATGACGGTTTCACTAAAATTTGTCTTTATAATTTAACAGTATATGTTAAAACAAAAGAACCAGTAAGAACAAAAAGAAAATACAATACCACTTTCAGAGTCTCACAAACTGACGATTTATATTTATATTATTATAAATTAAAAAAAAACTAACAAAAAACACTTAAAGCTCATATATTTCAGAATAGAAGCATGTGCTAAATCCTTTTCTATGACGGTCACTAAAATTTGTACTAGAGGATATTGTCAGTTGGACAAAAAAAAAGAATATAATAAATATATGCACAACCCTGTACTATTGTTTCACTGACAATCACTGTACTAAACACACATTCAAACAATTACATTGTTTTATTCATATTTTTCATATTTTTCTATTTTTTCTTCTTATATATATAAATATATATATATATATTTGTGTAATATATATCTGAATAGGGGACTAAGGGTGTAGGTAGGGGTGATTTCTCATTCAATGACAGAAGTGGGGTTTTTTTTTCTCGTCAGGGACGGAGGAATCACTAAATACCAGTATGTCTTTGGAATGTTATTCGGAATGATATACGCGACCGTTATGGAAAAGGAACGGCTATTAGTACTCGCCAAAATGTAATACTAAAACTACATTAAGGAATGGGTGTATATATTTAATTTCTATTTTATATGAATTTAAGGCGAAATTCTTATATAAGTAGGCCGACTACCAAAACCAATAACAACAACAACAACAACAATTATTAAAGACATAAGAATGCTAACAGTTTACTTGCACATGAATTAATTAAGACATTGGCGTGATTACAGGTTTTCTTCTCGCAAGGATTGCTAAAGACATTTAAATGCTGACAACTTAGATGCCCAATGATTATTGGAGACAATTCGAAGATCAACAGTTTACTAACATCAGGATTGAAATAGTTAAGACATTAAAGTGCTCAAAGATAAATAATCTAGACTCGTATTGACAGAGATATTAGATTGCTGACAATTTACTTACTGTGATTGTTTTTCATATTTTAGTGACGTCACCCGACAGGACGAGTTACTGGCAAATGCAATACGTGCAAGAAACACCACAAGAATTACCAATTTCATTTTTTATCTGAAAAAGAACATTAGTTTGCTTTTTCCCGCAATGGTTTTCTTGTAAACGAATTGCATAGTGGTACAAAATGAAAACAACACTTTGTAAATTTCATGCGTCACAAGCGCTTTTCTGGAACGATAAAAAAGTAAATAATTTTCACTCTGATATAAAATGTTATTTCTTTAGTAAGATATTCTTTTACTTTCTCAATATATATTTGCCAAAGAATCCGACTTGTAAAGACTTAGTGTATATAGTTATAAGCCTTTCTTGTCTCATTCCAGAAGGGTCTGTAAAACAATAGAGACTTGGTAAAAAGAAAAACGAAAGGACATCATGCATTGGGTTCCCAATTCTCTTCAACTTCGTGCTTTATTTGGCATTTTTAATTTTTTGATTCGAGGATCATTGATCAGTCTTATTTAGACGAAACGCGCGTCAGCTTGCGTTCAAGTTCAAAAATTCGAAACCTGGTATCTATGATGAGTTTATTTACAAACACAGGGTCAATTCCATTGCTGTTAGAGGGTTCTTCCCCAAGGGTATCAACAGCCAAGTGGTTAACACTTCTGCGTTGACATGAATTATCATTTATATGGTCATAATTATAAATTAACTGTTTACCAAACATTTTAATTGATTTTGAAATATTACGGATTTTCTACCTCAGGAATATATTACCATAGATGTATTTTGCAAAACCTTTCGGAATTATTGGTCCCCAATGCTCTCCAACCTCATGCTTAATTTGGCCATTTTATATGTTTTTATTCGAGCGTTACTGATGAGTCTTATAAAGATAAACCGCGCGTCTGGCGTACAAAAACTTCAATCATGCATGGTATCTATGATGATTTTATTTAATAACATACTTTATCAAAATGTATTCTGTCGGTTTAATCCGTTTATGATACAATTTATATGCTTTTCTGTATTAGTGATAATTATATACAATGTATATGCTTTTCTGTATTAGCGATAATTATATAAATTTAATTTTCTTTCTATGAGTCCCAGCAAATTAACAAAGTGTTATTGTTTTACTCACTAGACCTATGTTGTTATGACATCCCTATATTTATTTGATGGTTTATACTTGTGATCAGTGAGAAATCTAGTGTCAAATATTACATACCCTGTAAACGCTGAAAACTTGATCTGTTCAATGTTTGTTCCGTTTTAGCAAGGACCCTATTAATAATAAATTCACAAGAAAACGATCTTGTAAATATAGTAACAATAAAAATGATTTGAAATAAAAACAATATGTCCATATAACGTTATCATTTCCCATCTAAAATAGCAACGAAGAGTACAGCAGGCTATTTGAGTTTTGTGTAAAATTGGTTTAAAATATTGATATGCGAATAAATTCCTGGATTAACAACTTCAATTTATTTTTCTACATGCTGTATACCTCTAAGGAACATATCAATTGTTCGTATGTGCATGCAGCTAGATCAGAAAAGTTAAGGGAAACAATTCCAAAGGAATCGATTGATATACAGGAAAGAGTAACTCTTTTGAAATTAAATTAGTAAGCAAATTTAAAAGGACCTTTTCTTTATTCAAAGTCCACGTGAAAAGAGCAGATCGGTGTACTCGAAAACTTAGTTGTGAAAATAGATATTTTTAGAAAAATTGTAACATGCAAAGGACTGTGTGATAATTAGATTTTGTATTGTAAAACAACGTTAATGAGTCTTATAAAGAGTAATTTTATCTAGAAAATTTTAGACCTTGAAAAATATCATTTAAATGTATATCAAATTCCGGTAATAAAATACATTTTAAAGATGTATAACAAAATGAGTATTATCCAAGACAGTGTACTAGAAGGAATCGGATTTTTTACTTTACAATCTGTAGTGACGTGGGAAAGAGCGTTAATAGTATGTTTTGTTTTATAGTAAAACAACATATAAAATCTCTTTATCTACGATGACTAAATAATATTTTCCTTCCTAATTCCCTTCACTATAACTCAATAGTGGACGAAATGCTTAGACTTTGAAATTTTTGGCATTTTTCTGTCGTTTACATATTATATTCATAAAATATATATTTTATAATAAAAAAAATTAAAAAGTAATTTATAGTTTTTTTACCGGAATTAAACTGAGTATGAAAAAATGGGCTCGTTTTCATTCTATTATACAATGTTTTCATCATGTTTATCAAAATCTATTTTTCACTTCTCGTCACCTTGATTTTAGATTAAAGCAGTTACTAAAAGCACGAAATAAGCAACACAAAAAAATAACTACTCATATTGCTACTACTACATTTTCACTGCTACTACTAATAATAATAATGATACGGTTTAAAGGGACACGGTTCACTTTTGGTAAGATATGGCCTTGGATTTCAACTTAATCATGAAATATCAAAAAGGCCACAATCTTATTCTTAAATTGATCTATTTCAAAAGATTTAATGATAGGTAAAACAGATCTCTTCATAATAGTAAATTATAGACGTTTTAGTCAGCTCGTTTTGTAGATATTGTCAAAATACGATGATTGTTTGCATTTTCGGACCTACAAGCTTTAGGAAAACCTTGGCAGCAACTTACGATCCAAAATGTTCTTTAACCAAATTTTTTTAAACAAAATGTGCCATTGTTAATATTGAATCCATTAACACAGAAATGTTCTGGATCAGAGATAGCGGTAAAAGTAAATTATGCTAAAAAGTGGTAAAATTATGGAAATATTTGACCAGAACTGACGTTACAACATAAATAATGCATAATTTATGGATCATTACTTGGTAATATATAATGTGAGGTGACAAAAATAAGTAGTTATTTGTATTAATAGTAGTATCACCACCAATTCTATGTGAAATTTGATACATTTTGGTCCGATTTAAAAAAGTTAAAATCTTACGGCCAATTTTAGACCTTTGTGAACCTACTCCTTTCTAAACCAATCGAAAATAGATTTCATCTACCAAATAAATTTCTATCCTTATATTTTTCATTCCTCGAAATCAACTCTTTCCGCTGAAGAATTTAAAATATAATTACCTTTAAACTTGAATTTCACAAAAAGCATAGAATATGAAATTTTCCCGTTAAGTTCTGAATACGTTTTCCCTTACTTCAAAGGTAAATCTAAAATGTGTCTATGAATTTTACAGATGATAAAAAGTTATTGTATGTGGAAATATAAACATTTATCAAAATAAAGAGTTATGCCCGAATTTTGAAGGTTTACTGGTAATGAAAATTAAAAACTTTTTAATTGCAGCAGATACTGCATAGAAATTAAAAGATAAAGAAATGTGATTATAGTGCAAAACACTTGGGCCTAGTTTAGAAAACAATCCAAAATTGCAACATGTAACACATTTACACATGATATGTAAGCACGGTCCGAAATTCAACAGTTTTAGCTAATGTCAAATTATATTTTCTTATTGCGCATCTGTAGATGATTAACAATATAATTCAATAAAAGAAAGAAAAAAATATCTAAAAGAAAAAATTAGACACGAATTGATGAAGATAACTCGCCTGTTCTTTCGAATTTGTTAATGTCTTGTATGCAAATTTTGGGATCTTATCATTTAGTAAATAACCAATAATATTTTGCATCTACAAAATTTTATGATATATTTTAAGAAATTAAGAAGTTAATGCAAATAACATTGGATTATATTTCCAACACTTGGTAAAAAGGGAAAGTTGTAAAACCGTCTGAACTTGAATATTAAAAAAAATCTAAATTGTACACATTAAAGATTTATAATAACAACAATTTATCCGTAAAATCAGTTTGTCCACTCCTTTAACGAGTTATTGCCTTCGGTGACAATTTTTCTCCGATTTAAGTGTTTTATACCGAAGCAATATTAGATAGAGTAAATTTTAGTAAGCAACAATGTTCAACAAAATAAGATCTACACATAAGCCAATTGACAATCGGCACATATCGCCATTCAAAGTAATTTTTTGCATACTTTTGTCTTTTTGGCATTTATTATAATTTAAAAAAAAATATTTTAGTAAAAGAATAACTATAACAGGTAAGAAAGAATAGGCAGAATTAAGATCTTTAAATTAATTATATTAAACAGAATCGACTCATTATAGTAGTTTTTGCTCTCATTTAAAATAACAAAATTTCTTTAATTTAGAAAAACCGAAATCTAAAAACAAATTATGGAATCGTATAAAATGCTCGGACGGCAAATATAAAAATGACATTGATTCAATACTATCAGAGCAGGTTAAATTTTACTCCGAGTTGATTAGCACTGAGGGTTGGGACGAAAATAGCGCAGAAAAACTTATCGGATGTATTGACAGGAAACTGACGGACGATGGTAGACAAAATATAGAACGACAAATCGGCGTTAATGAACTAACAGTTAAATTCTTTGAAATAATAAGTCTCCGGGAAGGGATGGTATTATATCGGAATTTTATCAAATATATGAGGACCTTATTAAAACGGATTTCACTGAAGTAGTTAATGAAGTATTTGACGAAAATGAACTCAGAAAGTCGCAATACAAGGGAATGTTAACTTTACTACACAAGGGAGGGGAACGAAGATAAATAAAAAAAAACTGGAGGTCTTTAAGCTTGATGAATACGGATTATAAAATTATATCAAAGATGTTGGCAGAGCGTCTAAAACCGTTGTTTAATAAAATTATTCACCCGGATCAAAAAGGGTTTGTAAAGGGGAGAAATATAAGTGATGGAAATAGACTTTTACAGGATATTATTGAATATGTAGAAAATGAGGATATAGAGGGATTAATTATATTTCTAGACCAGCAGAAAGCTTTTGGCCTCGAGCATTACTGAAGAGACATTGATTGTCAAAATGCGCATCTGGTGCAGAAAATGTGGTACCGATTATGTTATTACTAACACTGGGTCGATGCCTCTGCTGGTGGACTGCTAGTCCCCGAGGGTATCACCAGTTCAATAGCCAGTACTTCGGTACTGGCATGAAAATACGGATTTTGTATTTTTTAAATTTGCTGTTAC